AACTTTTTTACTCCAACTTGACACTTGCAACGAAAAATAATATATATCCATGGCCATTTCTGCCGCAAACTGTAGCAGAAAGTGTTCCCTCGCAGATCATAAATTAATAACCATTAATGATAATTAATTCTCAAGAACGTTTATAATTGCAAGGGATTTTACATTTCCCTCGCAAACTTTTGGCTACTTATTTGAATTTTAAAATTTCACCAAGTTATGAAATCATAATCCGTCGCAGGATCCAAGCTGTTTGCGACAGATATTATAACCCCCTTGCAACGTTGGACAACTTAATTAATATTTAAAATTTGGAATTTTTTTACTCACAATTTCATGTATATTGCGACGAAATTAGTATAGAAAGCCATAGCAAATTATGACGGATAATAGTTTCCTTTGCAAATAATTACGCTTATAACACTATCATAAGTGTGGCTCGAGGTGTAAAAGACCTAATAAGTACAATAATTGATGAGAATATTGTTTTCATAAAGTCCAACTATGAAATTCTTGATAAAAATGTCTTATAAGAGTGTGACTTTGGGTAGAGAGAACCCAATCAATATAATCATTGATGAAATTAGTGTTTTCATAAAGTCTTAATATAATACATCTATCTTGAAGAAGAAGTTTTACTAAGAGTGTGGCTTTGGGTATAGAAAGTCCAATATATACAATAATTGATGAGAATGTTATTCTCGTAAAGTCTTTCTAAGAAATCTTTTACGAAGAATCCAAACAATAAGAGTGTGACTTTAGATACAAAGGAGCAAACTAGTACAACAATTGATGATGATGTTCATTTCGTATTGTCTTATTAAGAAATGCATGATGAAGAAGTTCTTTGAGAAAATATCACTTTTATTGCTATGCAAAGAACTACTACCCCTATCTCCCCTAAGTTCAATGTCATTATCTTCTTTTCTTTATTTCCTTCATTCAAATATCTTTTTCTACATTGCATCCTCTACAAATACTTCAATCTTACTAACTCCTTTATTTTATACCCTCTTAAAGCTAATGTATGTGCATAAAGTAAGAATAAAATATACTCAATTAAATAATTTTCAACTTTTGCAAGGGAAACTAAGTTCCCTTGCAACCAAAGCAAAAATTCAGTCGCTAATTCCCTCGTAAAAGTAATGCCGCGAAATCCGTCGACGATTAATATCTCTTAGATGTCGCAAGCTCTATTCCCCAGCTTTGCGAGGGTAAATGTCATCGCAAACTATTCCATTGCAATTTTTCGTCTCAATTGCAACCATATTTGCTTCGGATCTTTACCCGTCGCATATTGCGATGGATTTGCTTCAGAATTACGTCGAATTTTGCTACAAACTATTGGCGAGGGATATTTGGATGTGTTTCCCTCGCAATTAAGTGTCCGTCGCAATTTGCGGCGATAGTTTTTCCACCACAAATGGTTGTCGCTGTTAGCCCATTTTCTAGTAGTAAGAAAAACATATCAAATAAAAATACTTGTTATTTTTAAGTTATATATTTTAGTTAGCTAGGGTGTAACTCTTTTTACTTATCCCAGTTTAAGTACCATAGTTGGGCTGATAGGGATAAGTTGAAAGAATTACGCCCTGACTAATAGTTATAATTTTTTGCCTAATAATAAGGGCTCGATTCAGCAAAATGATTTCCAATCTTGTCATGTCATACACGTATTATATATATGGTTTTAAAATTTTTTACTCCATATTTAGATGGTATCATAGCCATACTACAATCTCTGTTTGTATGTGTTTTGATCTAATTAGATCGGAACAATATGTTTTCTCCCAACTGTGATCCCCTCTTCCCGGGTCCACGGCTACACAAAGAGATCACACATGACATATAGATATCTCTTACTTACATAATGATAATGGTGGAGTTTGTATGAATTCTAATTTTATTCCCAATCTGGTGCCTTGGTTCATATTATAATCTAGTAAGCATGCTTTGATTAGATGTCAACGGACCAATTTTGCTTGTCCAACAATTTTTTGTAAGCCTGTAACTTTCATACTTTGTCAACTCAAATATATAAGGTGTAGCGTTAGCTGATCCCCTTATCAATCCACCTGGTTCAGGAGGTCAATGCTAAGAACAAAAAATTAATTGGAATCTAAGAAATTTTTGCTTGCTTGAAATTGCAGGAAACAAATAAATGTATACCAGCGAATATTTTATTTGACAGGATTACATTAAAAAAAATCAACAGTAATGCATTAGCTCTTTTTTCATATTTTTTTTTTTTGCAATGCATTAGCTCTTAATTAATTAGAAGACAAATGTTACAAGGGCTAATTAAGCTTGCTTTTAATAATGCCTTTCTAGACTTTTTGGCTAACATACATAAACTTGTTTATCTGTTTTCTTATTTTTATTTCATATGATTTATATGCTCAAACAATAATTAAGTTCATTGTTGTCGTGAGCTGTATCTCAGGCATCGCCAAATGCTTTAACCCAATAAAAAAACGATTAATTATTCCTTCATTAGCTTTTCTATATAATTGAAAAGTATAATTAAGTTCCTTATGATTACTTTTTATAATCGCTTTTAGGGCTTTGACTTTAGAAAAATTGCTATTTATACAATACCCGAATACTTGTATCTCTCACATTAATTTGCTTATATGATAAATCAAAATATATGAGTATAGAAAATGAATAAACGCTATCATAAGCTCAACCGAAAATAAACAAGGTACATAAATAACTGAGATCTGACTCTACGTTTAATTTAATGATTTTAATATTTTATTCTACAGCTGATTGAGTCTGTCAGTCGAATGTTTTGCTCTATTTATTGCAAATGGCTTATATACCTCTTGTATTATATTAGGGAGTTAGAACTCCAAAAGAAAATTCATTCGTCGATCTTTGCGCTTATATTTTTTTTTTTTTTTTTTTTAATCTGTGGGACCTACTCCAACTGGGTCTGCTGGAAAGATTTAAACTTCTCGGGTTAAAGAAGAATTATAAATCCCATATATTATTAGCACATATGATATTAATTTATAAATATTAATAAATAGGTACTAGACAACCATGCCCACAACATACTTGCATCTTACTGTTTTATTATGAAGAATAAATATAAAGAATCAATTCAATTCAAAAATTTAAGTTAAGAAATAAAGGTCTATATTAATGTTTTTATATTATATTTTTTTAACACATCTCTTTACATAAGAGTTTTTTAGACTTGAAATGTGAATATTGTACATGCTCGTTTTTTTGTTTTACTTTGTGTTGATTTAATTCCACTAGAAAGTGAGGTAATGAAAATCGAATTCGTGATTCCATAATTACATAAGCTGTGATACCATATATTGGCTACTTTATATTTTGTACTTCATTTAACTTGTGTTGATTTGGTACTTCATTTCATTTAATATTAGTTACTTCATATTTTGTGTTAGTTGAATTTGTTGTAGGAATATTGGATGATGAGTAATATTAGGTTACAATAAAAAAATTATTTTTTAATTTATTTTATTTTGAAAAAATTTAAATATTAGAGACATGAAATAAAGATAGAAATATTCTTCACTAATTATAGAAATTATCTGTTATTAATAAAGACAGAAATAATCTGTCACTAATAGAGACAGAAACAATCTGTCACAATCAGAGAGGGGAAAATATTTGTTACTAATAGAGACAAAAAAATATTCATCACTAACAGAGACATAAGTTTTTTGTCACTAACAAAAACGAAAAAATGTCTATTACTTACAGAGAAGGGAAAAAGTCTATCACTAAGAGAAACAGACAACTTTTGTCCCCAATAGAAATAGATTACATATATTTCACGTGCATAAATTAGTGACAGAAAATAATATCTCAGCGATAGATTTATCCGTCACTACCAGGGAGGAAAACATTTTTGTCTTTGATAGTGACAGAATATTTTTCGTCTTGGTTAGAGACAGATTTGTTCCATCCTAAAATTCGTCTTTATTAAGGACAGATTCATAGTTACTTCTCAACCCTTGTTAGTGACGAGTCATAATGTAACAGATTTTTGTCCGTCTGTAATTCAATCACTAGCCTATTTAGTGACGGAAATATTTCACTTAGTGACGAAATTATTCCGTCTCTAATTGATTTTTTTTATTGGTGATCTCTAACGGGAAAAAGAAGAATTTGTCTTTGGGTCTTAGCTGCCAACTCACTGCAATATAGAAAACGTCTACGATCACCAAATGGTGGTAATTCAGTTAGTAGCAAGGGAGCTGAGTAAGTGGAAAAAAAAGGACCTCGATTCAATCTCCACATGTCATCTTTGGGAGGGATTTAAATATCTTTATTTCTGACCCGCCCTGCACTTCGGATTAGTATCATTGCCGGCTCAAAAGTCGAAGCTCGAGGGGATATCGGAGGAGTTAGCTTGCATCAAAAAAGTAATTAGGGTTGGGTTAAATAAAAAAAAAAAAAAAACTTTCTGCAATCTATTTTTTATTTTTTTGGAGATATGCAATCGATTCTTATATTTAAAAATTTGAGGATAAGATGCCGACTACAGTATTTTGCATTTGGCTTTGAGTATTATTCAATTCGTTGAAATTTGGAAAAATTTAATCACTTATTTAGAATCTTATTTGAAAATTTGTCATGAGAATGAGTATGCATGATATTTGACGGAATAAAGTTAAGGTAAATAACAAAAAAGTTAGTAAATAAAATAGAGTTATAAAAGTTGTGAAAGCGATTTTTAACTTTATTTAAGGCATAAATAGGTAGGTTCCTCTTTTCCGCTGGATGCAATATTACTAATTTCACTTTGCATTTATATAAAGATATATGAAGTCATTTGAACTGAGCTTCTACGTGGTGCAATCAATGATATGCACCACAATCAAGTTGTATATGATGAAGTAATATATTAAGTGAATAATCCAATCAAAACGCGTTAATTGTGGCTACCTTCCTTCTATATATAAATCATATTCCTAGCCAAAGCAATAACAACTTAGTTCAAAGCCTCAAAAGAGCACAACATGATGGCTTCTCATATTCATTCTCTGGTTATGCTTGTTATGGTCATGTTGGCCACATCAATGATCCCTTCCAATGCAAAGCTCACTCGTCATTTCTATGATAAAGTTTGTCCTCAGGCACTGCCAGTCATAAGGTTTGTGGTTGAACAAGCAATCAATCGTGAAAGGCGCATGGGAGCATCCTTGCTGCGTTTGCATTTCCATGATTGCTTTGTCAATGTAAGTTACTGTACGACATAGTACCAGATACTGTTCTTTTTATATGTATATATATACCTCCATGTGATTGATTAGTTCTATGTTTTAGTGTCATAAATTTAGACGCAACTAATTAAGTAATATTGTGATATATAGTCTCCTACGTTAATTTGCTTATTCGAATTCGAAACTTATTAGGGTGTGGTCAATTAATCATAAGTATGTATTACACCAATAAAAAGCACTCGTTAATCACTTTATGCATAAAGTGATTCTGCCAGAAAAAACCATTTTAAGACGTAGCTTTTGCCTTGATATTGTCGCTTTTGGAGCTCACAAAAGCTAACTAAGATCTCAACTTTTTCCGGTCTAAGTGCAACTTCATACCAAAATAAATGAACTAATCCTATAAAGTACAAAAAATCACAACCTTATGCCACGATTTTTGGTTTGATGTTCTCCTTGGCAATCAAAAATTGTCTCAAATGTGGTAAAATCCTAACAAGCTTGGTATCATTGGAGAAAAAGTCATGTTTAGTCAGTCTAGCTATTCTTACACCTGAACAATTGTAATAATATCTTGCTACTTTTGCTGGAGGAAAAAAAAAAAAACTCATTTGTGTGTGTATTGATAAAGTATATTTAAAATAAAAATATCAAGTAAGTTTAATAATTTTTTTGAAAGAATTAAAATCTATTTATTATTCCAAAAGTGATTATTTTTTACAATAATTAAACAAATAAATTTTAAAATAATTTCTTTCATCTATATATATGCCAATAAAAAACACCATCAATTTATTTACCATTAAATTTTTAATGTTAATTTATTTTCAATCAAACTCGAGTCAGATACTCATACTCTTTCATAACAATAATTCTAAATATACCATTAATAATAATTCACAAATTTGTTCAATCCTTGCAAGCACAGGGGTGTGATGGATCAGTGCTGCTAGATGACATTCCGAACTTCACTGGTGAGAAGACAGCCCTACCAAATTTGAATTCAGCAAGAGGTTTCGATGTGATTGATGAAATTAAAGCAGCAGTAGACAAAGCTTGCAAACGTCCTGTGGTATCATGTGCTGATATCTTAGCTATAGCTGCTCGTGATTCTATAGCCATAGTAAGTATTATTAAGTACAAATCTTTCATTCCACCCATCAATTCTTGTTATATATATTATATGAACTCTGAAAACTATATATTATATTAATTAATTGTGTTTTTATTAACAGTTGGGGGGTCCACACCTTTGGTACAATGTATTATTAGGCAGAAGAGATGCAAGAACTGCAAGCAAGGATGCTGCAAACACCAATCTTCCTGCACCATTTTTCAACTTCTCACAGCTTCTTTTTTCTTTCAATTCTCACGGATTGAACCTCAAAGACTTAGTGGCACTCTCTGGTGGCCACACCATTGGCTTTGCAAAGTGCTCTTCCTTCAAGGGCAGGATCTACAATGATTCCAACATAGACCATAGCTTTGCTTCCTCTTTAAGGAAAACATGTCCTCTAAGTGGTGGAGATAATAATTTGGCACCATCGGATTCAACTCCTGCAAAGGTTGACACTGTGTACTACAGGGATTTGCTTGGCAAAAAGGGTCTCTTGCATTCTGATCAAGAGCTCTTTAAGGGAATTGGCAGTGAAAGTGACAGATTGGTAGAGCTATATAGCATGAATCCATTTGCTTTTGCTAAAGACTTTAAAGCTTCTATGATCAAGATGGGTAAAATAAAGCCTCTTACTGGGAATGAGGGAGAGATTAGATGCAATTGCAGAAAAGTTAATACATTTTGAAACTTTGATTGGACACCGTATATGTCAATTAAGTGTTATTTAAAAAAAATAAAAAATATTTCGATTGTTATGAATATTAATAATGCTAGGTTCAGATAATTCTGAACTAAAAGTGGAAAAAAGAAATCAGCTAAAGTCTAGAGGTTATATGTTGAGTGCTTAATTATACTACAATTTGTATGTTTTGGATGCATGCAATAAAGAATTTGTTTATCTATGTTAATTTTTTTATGGAATCTAGACACACTACAAGAAAAAAGTTTATTGTGACAAAAATTTTCGTCACAAATTTTGTCACAAATGACAATTTTCGACACAAATAATCAAATTTCGTCACAAATAAATTTGCGACTTAGAAATTTGTGACGAAATTTCATATGTAGTGACGAAATTTACGACACTAATAAGATTTTTTCTTGTAGTGACAACCTTTACACATTATTATTATTATTATTATTATTATTATTATTTTGGCTACGTACCGACTCAATTATTGTTGGATGTATTAATAATATAATCTAATAGTATATTCAAAAGAAAAATAGGCTCTCCTGCTATAGGAGAGATTGTTCTTCTGTCACACTCACATCAATATAGTAAATTCCACCATTTTTAAATAAATAAATAAAAAACAAATTAAAAAAAAAAATCTTGTGATGGTAGCTGCAGATGATTTTCTCCAGCAACAAGAGAAAATCATCTCCCATATTCAAATACAAGCCGAATTAATGAAATTATGACTATTTGTGTCCATATGGACTGGAGTCCAATAGTTTACATTATCTCTAGGATTTTCTTAAACTGGAAATAATATTATTGAGCATTCCAAATCAACTTGATTCCTTTTAGTGTAATATTTTCAGCATCTCTAAACTTTTTTATTTCAAATTCGTAACCTCTAATAATTATCTTTTTGAGACGAATCGACCTCGATATCTCTTAATTTTTAATTCTTTGAAGGACTTGCTTAAAAGTAATAGTTACTTCATTCTATAATTCAAAGCAGATAAATATATAAAATTTATGATCATTAATTGTTATCAATTGAAGTTGATCTGATAGTTACTAAATAATAATACGACGTTCCTTTGATCCCATCTTTAGTTGCGCAAAGTGATAACCGTATGTTGCACGTAACATATTTGTCGTCAAGTCAGGAAGTAGAAAGATACCGGTTTATAATAAAACTTATAAAGATTAAATATTAATTCTTGACACAATAATTAGCTAGTATGTCACATTTTTCCAATATTGTTATACTCTCTTCCGTCTCATATATTCTTGTACGTAATATAATATATCTGACCCACTCAATAACTGCCTCTCCTTTTTCCTATCATTTCTTCACCGCAAACGAATCCCAACCACGTTTGAAGGAAGGGAATTTCCCCCTCCTTTTCCGTGGTGTTAGGGTAAATGAAAAACAAACATATATATATATATATATATATATATATATATATATATATATATATAAATAAATATATGAGTTTATCTTTTATCATGTCATGTGGTATAAAATTATGTCATGTCATACTAAAATTATGTCAATTTGGAAATTAGGAGAAATTAACGAAGGATATTTTGATAAAATTTAAATAATAAATAAATAAACAAAAATATCAAAATATCCTTTATTAATTCCCCTAACTCTCAAAATGACATAGTTTTGGGATAACATGACATAATTTCATTAAATAACTTTAATGTTATAACTATGTATTCCTGAGAATACATAATTATATGTTGAGAATGCACAGTGAAAGGAAGAGAGAAGCAGAACGAAACCAATTTTGTATTCAATTAATTGCCTTTTCTGCCTCGATAGCCTTGACGTATCCACTGGTAATGATTCTGCTTCCTTTGCCGTATCATCTGTCGCAGCTTCCAAAGGGACCTTGTCCTCAAGGTCTAAATGAGGATAAACAGCAGCAAGTTTTGAAGCGGGTTCCCAAGAAGCATCCTCAGGGAGGGAATGGGACCATTGGACCAAAAATTTCTTACGAGGTTGTTCCCCCACCATACGTGACCGGGACATGAGTAGAGCAACTGGTTGCTGAACATGATGATTATCAATATTGGCTTCCGGGAGCGAAGGTAGATGAGGTGGAGGATGACCAGAAAAAGCTTTCAAAACTGACACAAGAAATATGGGGTGGATTCTGGAGTTTTCTGGTAAGACCACATGATAAGCTACAGAGATGATTGCACGTTTAATGGGAAATGGTCCAAAAAATTGTTTAGAGAGCTTGTGACTTCCACGACGAGCAACATAAATTTGTCTGTATGCTTGCAACTTAACTAAAACTAAATCACCTTCCTGGAAGATGCGTTCATGACGATGCTTATCAGTGTGCACCTTCATACGGTTCCTGGCTTGGTCCAAATTTCTTTTAAGGAAAGCAAGGAGTTCATCACGGTGCTTTAAGTTGAAATCAAAAGCTTCAACCGAAACTTCAGCAGGTAAGTAAGAAGGAATCATGGCAGGAACCTTACCAAATAAGGCTTGAAAATGAGACATCTTAATAGAGGAATGCACATCTGTATTATAGTGGAGCTCTGCCCAACACAAATAGGTTGACCACTGATTATTTTTCTCACTGCAAAAGGCTCATAGATATTGTTCCAGATACCGATTAGTTACCTCCGATTTTCCATCGGTTTGGGGATGATACGAGGAGCTCGTCTTCAAGGTTGTGCCATTGAGTCGAAATAGATGGACCCAAAAGTTGCTAAGAAAGATACTGTCTCTATCAGAAATAATTGTTTTGGGGAAGCCATGATGCTTAACAACCAGTGTACAGAACAATTGAGCAACCATGGATGCATTATATGAAGATGAGAGACCTCCAAAGTGAGCATGCTTAGTAAAATGGTCAACAACAACAAAAATGGTGGACAATCCTTTAGATAGAGGTAAACCGGTGATGACGTCCATGGTAAGATCTTCATAAGCTCCATCGGGTACTGGAAGAGGTTATAACAAACCTTGTGATGGAATGGTGCCTGACTTCACTTGCTGGCAGATGAGACAGTCACGAACAAAAGCTTTGACATCACTACGCATAGTCTTCCAATAAAAGGATGCGGACAGACGTAAGAACGTGCGCAGTGCCCCAGCATGGCTCCCTTTAAGAGTGGTATGAGCCTCCTGAATCAGCTCAGATATAAGGGGAGAGTGTGAGCCCAACAGAAACCGATGATGATGGAAAAGGATACCATCCTTGATAGTGATGGCAGGGTCAACACAGGTTCCATCAGAGAGTTGTTGATGAATGGACAAAAGCTCCTGATCAGTGGCATTGGCTTCACGAATGCGGTGCAATATATCGAATGTAGGAGAACAAATAAGTGCAAGGAGACCAGCAATATCAATATCTTCAAATTGGCGGGATATAGCATCAGCAACAATATTTCTACGACTGGATTTAAACTCAATGGTGAAACTATAACCAAGTAACTTGCAAACATAACGGTGTTGCTCAGGAGTTTGAATAACCTGAGAGAGCAATTCCTTGATGCTACGATGATCAGTTCGAATAACAAATTGACTGCCAAGGAGATACTGTCTCCAACGCTTGACTGCCTCAGTTATGGCAAACAATTCCCTTACATAGGCCGAAGCAACACTCATTCGAGGGCCAAGCTTTTTGCTGAAGAAGGCAAGGGGTTTATCATCTTAAAGCAGCACTGCTCCTACACCAGACATGGAGGCATCCGTTTCCACAACAAAAGGAGCAGAAAAATCAGGTAAAGCTAATGCAGGAATAGCAGCCATGGATTGTTTGAGAGCAATGAAGGCGTCAGTAGCAGTAAGAGACCAGGAGAACTGATCCGTTTTTAAAAGGTCAGTTAATGGTGCTGCAATCGAAGCATAATGACTTACGAAATGTCTATAATAACCGGTTAGGCCAAGGAAGCTTCGAAGTTGTCTCACTGTTGAAGGATTTGGCCATTCAAGCATGGCAGAAATTTTTTTAGGATCCGCTTGAACTCCAGTAGCAGAAACCATATGACCCAAATAGTCGATCTCTTGTACCCCAAAGCTGCACTTACTCAATTTGACATAAAAGTGATTTTACTGCAGTAAAACAAGAACAACATGTAAATGAGTTAAATGATCTAAGAAGGAAACACTGTATACCAGTATGTCATCGAAAAAAACAATGAGAAATTTGCGGAGGTAAGGCTTAAGTAGCTGGTTCATCATGGCTTGGAAGGTTGATGGAGCATTGGTAAACCGAAGGGCATCACCAAAAATATATAGTGTCCCTTATGAGTACGAGAGGCCGTCTTGTGAACATCCGCTGGAGTCACTCATATTTGATGATAACCAGCTCGAAGAACAAGCTTAGAGTAGAAGGCAGCCCCCAAAAGTTCATCAAGAAGTTCATCAATGGTGGGGATGGGAAATCGATCTTTAATGGTGATGGCATTGAGTGCCCTATAGTCAATACACATGCGCCATGTCTTGTCATGTTTCCTGACCAAGAGAACGGGTGAAGAGTATGGGCTGTGACTAGGCTCAATGAATCCAGTGGAAATGAGATCATGAACCTGTCTTTCGATTTCCTCCTTTTAATGATATGTATATCTATAGGGCCGAACATTGACTGGTCAAGAACTTGGTTCCAAGTAAATAGAATGATCACTATTACGAAAGGGTGGCAATGTTTGTGGGATTGCAAAAATAGATTGAAATCGAAGAAGAAGATCCCACAATTCTGGAGCAAAGCTCGACTGCAGGCAACTAAGTCAGAGCTGGTAGAATCGGACCCGTGTTATGCGTAGGTTGCTGCATATTCGAGGAATTTGGGTTCTGATTTTGAGCCATGAACTCACAAAGACGAGTGTCCATTTGAAGAACCGATTCTGTAAGTTGATCCAAACGCTGCTGCAGATCCGATCGTGTAGACTGCACTTCTTGGTGGAATTCAGATCGTAATGCAACTTCTTGGATTCTCATGGTTAAGTTCAAATTGGGATGAAAGCACCAGATG